TACACACTTGTCAGGTTTTCAGTACTGAGTGGAGTAATACATACACACTTGTCAGGTTTTTCATACTGAGTGTGGTAATACATACACACTTGTTAGGTTTTCAGTACTGAGTGGAGTAATACATACACACTAGGGGTGTAACGGTACACGTGGGTGTATTGAACCGTTTCGATACGGCATGTTCGGTTTGGTTCACCAGCGTACTGTTTCGGTTATTTTTACACTCATTACATTTTATTAACAAGAGATTATGCACAGCAGAACTAAAGTTCCAAAGCGTGTTTCAGCACAGCGCTATTATCTTGCAGCACGCGCAGCATTAGCAGCCTAGCATCTCATTGCAGTCTCCTGTTTGGGAACATTATGTCTTTCTTGTTAAAAGACAAGTGAACAAATCCAAAGTTGTGAGTCGACGTTGTTTCATCAAGATTGGATCTGCAGCAGCAACAAGTCTAACTTGTCAACGCTCTTGAAACGATATCATCCGAACATGAACGTCTCTTCTACAGAATAGCAGCTTGTTGCAAAGAACGATAATAGCAGCATTTAAACAACTTTTATCAGGTAATTCAGATTGGTCCAAAGCAATAACACAAGCTATAGAAGTTTTTAAAGCTCTGGAACTACGTTTCTGTTGTTGATGCACAGACGTTCAAGTTGTTGAGCCCCGCTATGACATCCATCACGTCAACACTTCAGCCAAAAAGTTGTAGCAGCACTTTATGAAAAAGCTAAAACTGATATTGTCAACAAGTCCTTGACCAGATTAAAGTCCTGTCACATGATGATGATGACCGAGAGATTCAACCACTTCATAACAGAAATGATGACCGTTCAAGAAGAGGTATTGTTATTTTATTATTATTATCTAAATAATTTTTCTTTTTTTTTTAATTATAATTTTATTAACTTTTTTTTTACCCATTTATGTTTTACTTCCAGTCTGGGACAGAGATAGCAGCAGAGTTTTCTTCCTTTTAGGACAATCCACCAGAGCTTACCTCCAGCTAAGAAGTCTGTGATGACTGAACTCTGAACTTTTCCAGGAACAGGTGAGAGCAGGTCCAAGAGGTTGTGAGTAATGAGGTCAAATACAGCCACATTACAAAATTAGCAAAGTGCTACTTCTTTATTCTTGCCACCTGTTAGTGAATGATTATCTCCACTGCTGGAGACATTCACTGCAACTAGATCTGTGCTTTTGGCAGAAAATGTGGACAAGTTGGTCTTTTTGGCCAAAAACTTAAAACTTGATTAGTTAGATTGTAAACAGTCTATTGCTGCTTATTGGTCTGGTTCTGACTGTTATATTTATTAAGATTTTTATTACTGTTATTATAGTTTATTTATTGTAAAGAGTGCCTTTTATTTAAAATATCATCCAAATGAGTAGTTTTTATTTATTTTTATACAAATGTATTGTTAACTTGGCATATTTTCAAAATAAACAATTTTGTAAGTTTTCATTTTGGCCTTTTTGTATGGAAAATGAACCGAACCGAGCCCTCCCTGAAACTGAACCGAACTAAAATGTGATTTTAGCGTACCGTTACACCCCTAATACACACTAATTAGTCTCTATTCCATTGTTGGTATCAGTAGCAGTTTCAGGTTCAAAGTGTGTATACAGCCACCATGGTTCACTGCACAATGAACTATATACTTTGGAATAAATAAAAACACATAGAATGGCCTCTCAAGGTATGTTACGTTCTAGTATTGAGCCACTCAAGGTGGCTCAATACTAGTGTGTTTGAACAGTTTTGTTAAATTGATTCTAATTTATTCTTTTAAAGGGGTTACATAAAGGTTTTAAAATTATGCATACATTTATGCAGCAAAACCACATCCTTGCAAATCAGATCACAATATTGTGTTCCTCTGGTTGTACTATAAATCTCTTGTTTGGAACAACCTGTAGTGATAAGAACTTAGAGAAGATGGTCACAGGCAGCTCAAGAAGCACTGCGTAATTGTTTTGAAGGCAACGGCAGAGATGCACTCTGAGGTCATCAATGTCATGAACAAGTATGGGACAGACTAAATACACATCTGCTTGGATTTTTCAATTCAATTGATTTTTCATGGATCACCAGTAACTTTAATGAACTGATAAACAAAAAAAAGAGCCTTTAGTGGACCTTTTTTTGAGAGAGGAGTAAAGGAGGCCATCTTTGTGAAAATAAATCGTCCATCATTAAACAGTGGTGGAGGCTTTCGTGTAAAACTGTCCCCCTCTTACAATGCTGTTATTGCTAGTATCACTCAGCCCCATGTGAATAGTAAACAGTCATCAGTGTGCTAATGATCTATCGTTAGGCTGATGGTCCTTCTTGATCATGTGAACAGATGGTTTTGGTTGTCAGCAGCAAACTGGTTGTTCCACTATGAGAAGGTGCTATTTATAAGACTAAACTGAATACAGCACCTCAGACTGAAGAAGTCTTTCGGATGAAAGATGAAACATTTCTACTTTTTTTTAATGTCCAAAGGACCAGATTTAACA